TCCCTACAATAAATATATAGTTCCTCCTACTTTGCAATCTGATGTTCCGTTTAACAATACATTTTAGCAATGAGAATCATAATTATATGGTTTTATGAAATAAATATTATGATTTTATGAACTATATTTTTAAGTTACATTAAGAATATTTTTCATAGTAAAAAGCACTATTCTATATGTTTGGCGCCTCAGGATACTATAAATTATAGTGAAATTATGGTTATTTCAACTATATTTTTCTGTCAGTGTATGTGCGATTTTGCGCAAAAAGATAGCGAGATAAACTTTCTGCATATTCCCGACGAAGAACGGATTAGAAATATATCACTCGATTTTACTCGTCGACCTTTCACCGCTGTTGTCGATTAATGCCGACATTGTTCAATAATAACTAATTATGCTATACATAATTGAAGCTAATTTAATAAATAGCACTGGGTATTTGTGCCTTCACGCTCTCGGAATAATCCACATTGAGCGTAGATAGATAGATCTCTTAGATTTCGAAAGAACAATAAAACTCTAACTCAATTACAAAACGTAAACGCTATTTAGGACCTGGCACAGCTGGAGGCAGCCAATTAAATTACTATGTAAATCCATATACCGTATTTTTTCCAACCTGTCCTGCGCGCCGTTACTTCCGGACGCAGGGGTCTTCGTTAGGTGGAATCATTATCGTCGGTGAACGATAAAACTCTGTCTTTGAAAATGTTAAATTTATTTCGTGGAGCATAAATTCGCCGGTGCCGTCTGATTTGTGTGCGTGCGATTTTGCGCAAAAAGATAACGAGATAAACTTTCTGGTCTGAAACTCAAGCCGGTTGCCGCCGTTGGAAGTGCCAAAGACATTAAGTATCCTCAAATATTACTTCTACTCTGGGAAAAATGCGGCCTCTTCTCCTCCCGCGGAAGAATGTTCGCGCGGTAGACAGGTTCCATTTCCCTGGTCTCCGAAGAGACGCAATGGCTCTCAAATAAGGACAAGGCCTTGAGAATTTTCACTGCGTAAAATATTTCCCGCACCTTCATCGATATTCCATTTGCGGCCTCGAGAGTCACGTATACGCACACACGCGCCCACGTGCACGCAGGTAACACACGAGAGCTAACTCGGTATAGTATAACAGCTATATCCGGAGGCGATTCTGCGGGGCCCTCCCTTGTTCAATTTTTCTATAATCCCGAATAAGACCTTAAAGTAGCAAACTTCAGACCGTTCAACACTATCAGCATTATTATTGAATGTTAATATTTAGATTTTGTATTATTGAAACTTTACTGTAGTTATTTCGATTTAAGAAATTAAGAAGTTATTCGCTTACGGAACATCGTATTCCGAAAAGATGCTCCGAAGTGCGAGAACTCGGAACATTTGATTGCAAGAATTTCGATCGAGACTGTTGTGGATTCTCCTGACTCGTGAGCGCCGATGGATTAAGGAACACCCCTGTGAAGTTAGCCCCCCAGTATTTAAAAATTTAACTTTTTTTTACGAGTTCCCTATAGATTTACAATAGTTCCAGAGTTCTTGATGGGTTTAAGAAATAGTTCTGCCCAAGACGTTAAAATGAATTTTTTAAATGGGGGGCTAACTTCACGCAGCCCCCCATTTTCGTAAAAACTAATTTTTTAATGGAGTTCTGGATAAATTTCGCATAGTTCTAGAGTTCTTGATACATTTTAACAACAATTCTGTACGAGAAAGTAAAAAAAACGAAGTTGAAGAATCAAGAAACAGTACCCCAGAAATAGGCATAACTATAAAAGTATTAATGTAATGGAATTTTGCAATTAGGATTTTCGATAGAACTCTGCGGGGGCTACCGAGAACTCTCAACAGAACTGCCGGAACTGTTCAAAAATTTTTTCGAGTCTTATAAGGCAGAAACTGACACCATTTTAACGTCTTTAATGGGCAGAACTATTTCTTAAACCCATCAAGAACTTTGGAACTATTGTACAACTATAGGGAACTCGTAAAAAAAGTTAAATTTTTAAATAATGGGGGGCTCACTTCACAGGGGTTTAAGGAACCCGCTCTTTCCTTGGATATCAGTGAACTGTATCTAATAAACTGAATATTTGACTCGTGCTCACAGATTTATTTCGATGTGCTCTTGCTCGTCGACATATCGCCATATTGCAATACTGATCTGTTCTCGAAACTTTGGCTCTCGAAAACAAAAGAAACAATCACCTCCTCGAGACTATCGATCCCTACTCCTGACGAGGCAAATTCAATCTGCTATAAAGACGCCTTAACAAAGACTCTGGATCTGAGTCACAATTAAACGCTATTAATTTGCATGATTCGTAAGTTTGTATAATTAGCATTATTCGTGCATGTTGTTCATTCAATTACTCAGAAATTAATGTTCTTTTAAATAATAAACAGCTCAAGAATGCAGAGTATATTTGTACGACAGTAACAGATCGTCAATAAAAATGAAGTTTTGGCAAACAAACACGTTATTGATCGCAAAACTTGGGCGAATTTATGTTTGCGCTTATGAATATTTCATATATATTTTTTGAATATTTACCGGCATAGGTTTTTCAGGGCATTACTAATACGCATGACGTGCGTGTCCGTGTATTTGCTGAGCCGAAATATTTGTAGATTCCGATATTGCGCAAAAATGTACATAATACTGAAATTGTTATAAGCGGCGAGAACAATATTGCGCGCATGAAAATTTCTCCTCCAATTCCTCTAACAAATTATCTAATTTTTCCTCATCCCTTTCCATCATATTTTACATTCAACTGGCAGGTAACGCCATCTCTTTATATAATCAGTAATGCGATATTTAATTATAAAACTATTTTCTTAATTGCAGACAGTAATTTTCGCCCTAATTCATTTTGCCAGACGTGACCACTTTTCCCCTATCTGTGACGTTCATGATATATTCCCTCCTCTTTTACACTCCTATGCGAACTCTCTGGTTCATTCATGAATATGGAAAATTAGACTTTTCGACGTTTTTTTTCCACCATCACAAATTGATTCCACAAGTGGCGCGTGCAGAATACGGCGATTAATTCGAGGAAAGAAAGACGGATTTCAATAGTACTCGCATGTGGAAATTAAAATTCGTTTTCAGAGTAAGTATAAACGTTCGAGTTACTGGGGAGGGGGGGGAGGGGGGGGGGAGAAAAGTATGCGACAACGTTGTCGCGATGGCGGGCAAAATTGCCATTTGTGGAATTACGGCGTTGTCAAATCATTAAAATCTCCAAGCACTGGTCATCTTTTTAACTTTTCCCCACTAACAAGTTTTAAACCATACTCCACCGATTTAGATTGCGCGATGGAATTTTATATATATAATCCACTTACCCAGTTTTCACAAAGTTCGCAAAATACTGCATGATACTCTCCGAGAGTGCCATTTCTAGTCTCGTGTAGTTTTTCGGAAAATGGCCAAATCCCTCCACCCACAATGGTGCCCCGAAGACGAATGGAAGCTCTTCGCCGTGCACCGAGCCCATCTTCTGTAAACAAAACAAGAGTAAAGTTAAGTGACTTCTACGTTCTTTCTCGCGTTCCTTAATATATGTGTGTGCGCGCGAACTAAAATAACGAAATAAAAATACTTGGTGATTTATAATACGCACGTATCGTACACAGTTTAAAAATTCTGCAGTATAAACAGAGAAAGATGATATTAATTTGGACGGAAATGTAGAAAAAACGAACGTAATAGATTACGGCCGATAGATAAAAATAGAGGCGTGGTCCGCCGGTCCGCTTTAACTGTATATGTATACTCTGACAGAAAAAATGGTGGCAGTTACCACAATCTCACTATAATTTATAGTCATTTTAGGAGCCAACCACATTTTTATAATTCTTCCAACTATGTTAGTTATGGTTGACCTAACACTGTATTATAGTTCTTATAGACACAATATTGGTTCATGTAACTTATGATATGGTTGTCATAAACCAAAACGAGCTTTTAATTTGGTAAGGTGTACTATAAATATTGCAATAACAACCATAAGTAAAATTTCGAATAACTATAATATGTAATAGTAATAATCGTATTTATAGTGGAAGTAAACATTTCCCACTTTTTATTATATACACTTTGCGTTCACTATGTCCATTGGTTACGTCACTTTGCACTCATAATTATTTTACTATGCAATTATAGTTTCAAATACCACATATTATTTTATCAGTGTAGCGTTGACTACAAGTTAGAAATATATCGCGCTTAATGCGTCCGGGATTTAGAAATTGTCGTAGTTGGCGCGAGCTTATCCGCAAGCTCGATCATCGCAGACACGTCAGATGCGATTCAATTTCACCGGCGTCTTCAGCGGAGAATTACGTTCCGGCTGGAACGTTTAGCTAACGGTAAGGACGACCGTCGGTCCAAATTGGATAAAGCATTCGCGGATGCTGCGTGATCTCTCGATCGTTAAAATATATTTTAGCGGACCGTGCGATCCACGAAATCAGAGACACCGAGTACCGCGATATAAATTATTATCCTTAAAATCTTGGCGATTGGTGGGAACAGATATCACAGACTCATGGATTTCAGAACCAACGAATTCGGTGATACCAGACTCCGGAATCGATCTCTGAGGCGCAAGTCCGCCGTGCCGAGGAAGCTATCTGTTCCAGCAAGCACTGAAATGGAATCGGCGATTCTAAGGCGATTACGTACGTACACGTCCGTGCCGAATGGCGCACGAAAGGGCATTTACCAAGTAGACGAGCTTAGTTCCGAATCGGTACTGCAGCGGGTTAAGACGCTGCTCCAATAGCAGGGGGAAAGAGAGCGCGGGCGAGAGCGAAAACGATAATCAGAACGGGAGAGAGAATGAGAGAACAATGTTCCCTTCTCACAGGCAAATGTACAGGAAGGAATAAATTAAAAGGATTGCGTGAAATACTAATGAACAGAATACAAAGTAATATAATGATATTAAGGGGATCCTAAGGCCGCTGGCGAACTCGATCAGTGTCGATAAAATAGGAGACGTAATTAAAAACGTCAATTATCGACATTTTTAATTCCAAGTTCTACTCGGCCTGAGAAATTTATAACCAATTAATTTGCAACTTTTACGAAAAAGCAGCAATTTTATTTGCTACACATTGCTCGGACCGAGATTTTGGATCGAATTCTAGCATCGTCAACACCATGGCTTTACTGACAATCTGACAGTTGTTTGGCAGCGACCTCTCTCGAAAAAGCCTGCAACTATTTCTATACGCCATTCTACTCCGTTTCTTTTCTTCTAGACTTAGATTTCTGGACTTGCGTTTATTAGAAGTAATCTTTTATCTTAGTTCTAATTGCACGATATTGTTCTTATATGTTGTTTCTAGAGTACGCTGGTCTCATTTTGTATATATTTATTGTAGAATTCTTGTGTCAAGCAAATATTGTCAAATGTACCAAAAAGTAGTAAAATTTTCATTTTTTTTTCATTTTTGATATAAAGTCGACCAGCATAGTCTAGATTTTGCTGCGTACTTTAATTCCGTAAACGAGTTTTGCATTTTTATAAAGCAAATTAAAAGACTACTTTTAACAAAGAATGTCGATAAAACAGACGGTTTTAGGATCCCCTTAATGCAAGGAAAAAATGAAAAGTAAAAGATATACAAGGTAACGAGACGACACAAAGTAGCATTGACAATCCGACAAAATAAAAAGTAAAGGAAGACGGGTGAAATGGAGAGGGAAGGAGAGAGAAACGGAGAGAGAGGAGGTAAAATATGGAATGCAGAAACCCGAATCCAAAACGACCGTGTTGCGTGTTCGTCACTGTCGGAACGAATCCCGGAGCTTTATCGAAGTTGTTTCGCCAACTAGGTTCCGTCATTGTCGAGAGTGTTGGCTAACCGGCAATGTACGACTGCTACTGATACCATTAATTTCATTAAGGTGTATCCGGTATGCCGCGGGAAACTGGGGCGATCCGCTGGCGAGTGATCGATGCGATTGCGAACGGGAAGCTCGATCTTCTCCGCGATATCGGTTTGATTTTTCAAACAAGTCGGAATTTCTTCTTAATTGCGGAAAGTGCGCCCGGCATGATGAGATTGGTTACAAAAGCGTCTGAGATTGGATCAGGGAATATTGAATATTCCATCCGACGGCGATCAAGCGCAATGGCCGCATCTCGTTCTGATTACTCGCGCATTTGTTGAGCTCCGGGAGTATAAATGGCGGCCGCTCCGATCTTCTTTGAGAATGGATTTTCAGCGATTTGTCCGGCCTTTTCGCGCGACATAATAAATCGACGCCGATGACCTCCCGCGCGCGCGCTTGCGAAAAGCCCGAAAATTGGCGCGGGCGTGAAATTAAAACGAAAAAAGCAAGAAGCGGATAGAAAGAGAATAGAGCGCGTTCACGTCGCGCTTTCAACCCTTTTTGGCACAGGTCTCGCGGCCGCCCCGTAACTTTTAGTTTTTATTCTGCAGTTCTTTTTTCGCTCCAATTTCGCTCCTCTTTTCGACCTGAGGTTCGTCTACCGTATGCGCGCACGCTCAGCTGCCATAAAGTCGACTTCCGGCGTGTCTGGCATCGACAATCGCGAGTTGCGAGTGCAATGACCGAGCAATTTCAATTTAACGCCGCAAATGAAAGACAAATTTTATGCACAAGCGCTGAAAAAAACGCTGTTGTTGACGAGATTTCTTTTAATTATTTGCGAATTATCACGACAAATTCAACTTTCTCACACGTACCTAATATTGAAGAGATTAAGGAACAAACCAGCCGTTGTGACTGGTTCAAGAACAATAGATGCTATTGACGAGAGCCAATTCGTTAACATGATCTTAATAAAAAATGTTATCAACATGGCCCTTGATTGTTTCAACTTAAATTTTAACTTAAAAATTAGATTTCACAAGAATTAAAGTGCGCTAAGACCTGAACATCTTTGCGTCTTCTCCTTCCGTGCGACTTAACATACCATAAAAAAAAGGTATCTTTATTGAATAATGCGAATTTGGTAAAAGCATCGGCAGAGTAACGATGCTATACTTTCTTTTATACTTTTTCAACGCGTATCTCAAGCATAGCGAGCGTTACCGTTTTTACTGCCGTACGCAGCTTCATCCATATAGCTCTATGCTAGCTTCAGCTGCCTTCGCTCGCAGAGAATAAGCGAACTCACCGTGTAGTATCATTTTTGACTTGACCATTGTTCCCCGCGGAAAAATTTCCAACGACCTCGCCGGATAATCCACAAACGTCAAGAAACGCGTGTGAAAGAACCGGTTTAATGAACCGGAAAGAATGACCAAAATCATTTTGTCTTTGTCAAAAGAATATGACGTGTAAAAGTGAGATTTAGCGGAAATTCAATTCGAAAAGTTGCATCTTTCAAAGTTTCGGAGTTACTACTTTTGTTAGCAGAATAAATCATACTTGTTAATTAAATACGGTGTAAGAAAATTTTTTCCTTAGTGCAGCTTAATTTTTACAAATCACATAAATAACAAAGGTAAAATAGTAAGAGAAATACAAATCAATGAATTGTCTATATTTGAAATTATCTCGTGTTTTTCATCTTTTAAAATAACTTTAAAACATGTTTCCAATGATTAAAATAAATGACAAAAATTCTTTATTACATGCTAATTGAAATACGAAACAAATCCACGAGAAATTTAAAAAAATTCCAGTAAAAACAAAACAATTATTATAAAAATGCATATTTTTCATCTTTTAAAATAGTTTTAAAACACATGTTTCCAATAATTAAATAAAATGATAAAAATTCGTTATTATATGCTAATCGAAATACAAAACAAGTCTAAGAGAAACTTTAAAAAATTTCAAATCAAAACACGACAATGTGAGAAGCAATTATTATGAAAATGATATAATTTTCTTTTAGAGCAGAGAATTTTTCAGGTTTTTTGAAAAACCCGAAAAACATTTTCGCAGTTTCCGGTATTTGATAGTCACGGAAGAACAATTGTCGAAGTCCAATACTGTTCTGACTTTTAAGATATTCTCTTTCTTTCGGCCCCTCGCAAGGGAAAGAGAGGAAAGAAGGCATTGTCGGTACAGGGGAATGCTTTGAGTTTTGCTGATCCGCGCGGCTACAACTTTAGCAGAGATGTAACCGTGAAACGGGGAAAAACAATTCCGCGAGAAGGGCCGGCGCGACAAAGGCGAAAAGGGAGATCGGTTAAATGTCGAACGAGGGAAAACGCTGGCATTGCTCTTCGTTATTAGAACTCCGCCTTTCCGCTCGCACGTAGCGCTAACGATTCTTCGAAAGCGCGACCTTCCCTCCTTTGTTTTCCCGATTAACCGAGCGGATGAAAATTTGCATTTGCAGGAATCCCAAACGCGAAATATGACGATTGTAAGCAATTATTGTTTATACGTTTTTCTTATCACCGTTCACAATTTCTCCCCGACTTGTTTTAATTTTATTATTTCCCATCGCCTTTTTCCTTACATTTTGTTTCACGTTATTGCTCATCTTCCACTGGGAGGATTAAA